TGTCTTGTTGTCGCATTGATATATGCAACTAATTACTTTTAATTGGATTAATTAATCTTCATATGATGTAATTAATTCAATTAAAATTATAATTGATTGACATCCCTAATACAGACCATTTTTCTTCAGTGAATTTCCAGCTATATTATGACTGTAACTGCGATAGAAACTCTGAGACGGCAGACTTTGTTGCGTGTGAGTTCCTTTGCTCTGTGCTGATAGGACAGGGTCAACATGAAGGACAGGGGTGGAAGTGTGTTATCTGTGAGGGCCACGGAGGGCAACAATCTCTGTAAGAAGATAGACAGCCCTGAAAGAGATATTTGACTCAGACGCAGATAGCATTGGGAGGTAAATCCGGGAGGCGAGGTCTGGATTGAGCAAAGCTTGTCTTCACTAGGGTGATGTAATGTTTTGGAATAGACTTTCTCAGTGTTGGGGATTTGTAAAGAAGTCTGAGAGGGCATGTAGGAGCGGTCTGCTACAGAGCAACGTGAAAAGAAACTCAATTTGAACGCTTTCTGGAGAATATGTGAGGTGAGCTTTATTGGGTCAAATCTCTCCGCCTTGATGCTAGAGTGTTGTGGGCCATTGCTAAGGTTTTTGGGTGATTGCTAGTTGAGCCCACATCCAAATCTCTGCTATTCTACTGTCTAGATTGGGTTCCTCCTTTTGGATGTTTTTTGTTCTCTTTTTTTTGTCCACCAGATAAAAATAATTTTTTATAAATTTTTTTGCATGTGGAACATCCTTTTATCCAAATAAGTCAGTCAATTAACATTGTGTGAAGCACAAAGCTGCATATTTGGTAGAAACAAATCCATATTTAAGATGTTTTAACTTTAAACTGTTCCTTCTGGCCAAAATATGAGACCGTTTTTTTGCTTGTGTTCGATCTGTGCATATTTCTCTCCTAATTCAGACGACACAACATTATCACTGGCCAAACCAATATTATTGATAGAGGACTTGTATTTTAGCTGGAATCAATTGTTCGAAGGTAAAAACATTTTAATGAATCATTTGTTTCCATGCTGTTCATGCAACTATTTGCTTCTTAAGAGATTAACTGATGGACTGGAGTGGTGTGGATTACTTGTGGATTATTATTTTTTATCAACTGTTTAGACTCTCATTCTGACGGCACCCATTCACTGCAGAGGATCCATTGCTGAGACAGTGATGTAATTCTAAATTTCTCCAAAATCTACATCTTGGATGGCCTGAGAATGAATACAGTTTCAGCAAACTTGAATTTTTTATGTGAACTATTCCTTTAAAGATATGTAATTGAAATCTACAGACACTAATAGATAAATGATAATAATATAAAACACATAAATGTGTATTTTGGACGTTTTCTTTCCACTAGTCTGAAAGAAGGCAAGTTATGGAAGTGAAATTACCCAAAATCTTTTGCTTGTAGAGTCTATCAAAGTGCATCATTCGAGGTACAGTATCATTCATGTATGTAGCACAAATGGTGATAGACGACTTATATCGCAAAGTTGAATACTTTAAATTTAAGTGGTTTGGTTAAATCACTAACAATAGGTATGAGCAAGATTAATCATGATGCTTGATTTAGCTACGCCTCTTATTATTTGTGCAATATTATCTTCAGATGGTCATTCTGCATGCATTACATCACTGGGCAGCTGGCTAAATCTAAAGATAGATATGTGCGTTTGCATGCAACATCCAGACAGCTGGCCCACTGCTAACACACATAGGCAGAAGATTAAAATGTGCTTAAATGAAGAAGAAATTGTGGTGCTCAGTAATGCACATTTATGTTAAAAATGCATGCAGAGCTGTGATGAAAGATGCATGTCACCTTTGAACGGCTCAGCAGGCATCAGCCTCGTAGATCTTGTGGTATTTGGCTCAAGGGAATCGACATGCATTAGAAAACCCAATAAGGGGAGTTTTTTCCTGTCAATTTTCACTGAATTCCATCACGCCAGGCACAAAGTCAGTGTGCTGAAAGTAAGAGCAGTCTGCTGACTTTTCCACTTTAACTACAGGGAAAGAGAAGGTGCTGCTATTTTTGTGTGCAAAGAAGTCGAACATCTATTTACCAGCAAAACGTATTTTCCCTCGGTGTGCTACATATCTAAATGTGATTTTGAAATGGCAGTTTGCACAGTGTAAGATGGATTTACAAACTCTAAAATGCAAAGTCAGATGGTTTTAAACAGTGTAAGCAATATATGAAGTCATTCACATGTTACTGCATGTGCGGTGTGTAAATCTACACTACTGTTAAAAGGTTTGGGGTTAGAAATATTTTTCGAAAGAAGTCTACTATGCTGCATTTGTTTGATTAAAGAAAGATACAGGAAAAACTGTGATATTCTGAAATATTATTACTATATAAAATAACAGTTTTCTATTTGAATGTTTTTAAAAAATTAATTTATTCCAACGAGTCAAAGCTGAGATTACAGTATCATTATCCTTCACATGATCCTTCAGAAATCATTCTGTGCTGCAAAACAGTGATATGTATTTATTTAAGTGTTTATTTGAAATAGATATCTTTGGAACCTTATAAATGTCTTTTACTGTCACTTTTGGTCAATTTAATGCTGAATAAAAGTGTGAATTTCTTTCAAAAAGAATCGTACTGATCTCGAACGTAAGTGTAGATGTTCAAAGAGCTACGTGCTTCATCTTTTATTTAAGTTGTATGGTTTTGTTAGTGTTCCATCCATAATAACTCCTTATTCTCTTGCAGGTCTCAGGTGAAGGCTCTTAAAGGGAGAGGCCATGTGTTTTATCCACCTGTTGGTCCAGGTCGACATCTGATAGCAGAATAAGTCAAGTCAAGTCTGCTTTATTGTCAATTCTTCCACATGTACAGCACATACACACAGATAATTTAAATTGCGTCACTCTCAGACCCTTGGTGCATACAGATAACACTAACAGTAGAACATAAATACAGATCGATACAGATTAAATATAAAATACAACTATACAAATAAGGTAAAATATAAAAAAATATATAAAGCAGCACAAGGCACATGGCAGATAGAGTGCAAACCAGTGAAGTAAATAACAGTGCAGATATAATGATTTGTAGTGCAAAAAGAGCTTATTCAGACTGATTAAAGTGACAGTGTGTGTGTGTATTTGGGAGGGGGGAGTGGGAGAGTCCGTCAGAGGGTCAGAGTTCAGTGGTGCGTGGGGCAAAAGAGGGGAGGGGAGGGGGGGCAAGGTCGGGAGGGAGTTCAGCTTCCTGACAGCCTGATGGATGAAGCTGTCCTTCAGTCTGCTGGTCCTGGCCTGGAGACTCCGCAGTCTCCTCCCTGATGGCAGCAGACTGAAGAAGCGGTGTGTCGGGTGGGTGGGATCACCTGCAATGCAGAGGGCTTTTTGGGTGAGACGGGTGTTGTAAATGTCCTGGAGGGAGGGGAGAGAATAAATGACCGTGTGGATCACCGAAGACTCAAATAAAGTCTTACTCCATCCAGCACAGACTCGAGTTTTCATTTTTCACTGTTATATTGCCACAGTGTCGTCGCAGGCATTGTTATGAGCCACATTATATTTCCGGCTGCGTTATCAGATGCACTCTAATCTTAAAGCGCACCCAAAAAATGAAACTTCTTTCATCATCTGCTCACCCTCTTGTTGCGAAAACATATATATATTTTTTCCTTTTCAGTGCAACACAAAAGGAACAAAGTGTCTAGACTGTTCTTTTCTGTACATTTGGAAGATGGTCTGTCAAACTAAAAAAAATGACACATAAAAGCAGCATTAAATCATCCATATGCCAAGTCATACGATAGCTTCATGTGAGGAACAGACTGAAACTGAAATCGTTGTCTGTTTGTTCGTTCTCCTTTTATGTTGCATGTAAAAAAATAAAATGACATGAGAGTCAGTAAATGAAATATTTGGCTGGTTTGAATGTCGTCTTGCTGGTTTATTCACTCTTGCGCAGCTGTAACATATTGTCACTTGCAATGCATTTTGAATAAACCAGACAAACAATCTTTGCAATATTCCCACAATCCTTTGCACAGACACAGATGGGAACGGATTGCGGTGCCAATATGATGAGGAGTTGGCAGTTGCAGACCATTGTTCCTCAATATATAACAAAGACGGATTCGCATGCTACACGGAGCAGATGCATAACAGCGCAGGCTTGACATGTCGGACAGTTCATGATGCAACCGTTACTTTGGGACAAGGAAGCCATCACGCCTCGGGCAGATTGGCAGTGCTAATAACCATCACAACATAATAATGCCAATGCACAATATCAATGAAAACAGCTCATTTAGACTGAATTTGCACAGATTTTATGTGCAAGAATACATTTACTGTTTAAAATGGCATGGGTTAGTCAAAGGAAGCATTGTCGTGTCTCTTTCCTCGTCGTATAATTGGTCCGTCAAGCATAGCTGGAGTCTGCAATACCGAAACCAGGAAACAGGATCCCGTGTATGTCTATATCGGTTATGTAACTTTTTATGTAAGTGCATTTAAACAAGCACACCGTTATTAGCGAGGCAGTACCTGAGCCCTCGGCCCCTCGGAGCCTTTGATCCTTTATGGAGGTTCAAGTCGAATTGCTGGTGCTCTTGTAATCTCTTTGAAGATAACCACGTAACCTTCAGATCTAGCAAGTTTCAAAGGAATGCAAAACTGGGGTCCGACATATTCATATTCTGGCAAACTGACAAAATCGCTGGCCGGTTTCTATGGCAACTTCACACACGCTCAGTGACATGTTTGGTCATGGTGTCATACGTGCCCAGAATAAATCGAGCATGCTTAAGGGGATTTTTTCAATGGGATACTCAGATTACAACTCAGTATGCATTGGGACAGGTCGATTTGCCTTGGAAATGTGAATAATTCACTCACACAGTTGCAGAAATAGGAAAACAATAATTATTTTTGTAGTTACGTTTGGTGGCACAGAAATGACACAGTTCAGCTTTAGATGTAAATGAAGCTTTTTGTGTTTTGTGTTGCAGGTGAGGTGCCTTTAAACTCTGGACCAAACCAACAGTGCTGAAAATGAAGATCTGTGTTGCTTTTATTGTAGTAGCTGTTCTTCACATCGCTCAGGCTGGTGAGTTTCCGTCTCTCTTGCTCTTCTGTTTCACTTTAGTCACGAAGTGCTTCAGTTGCATGACTTTTTGCATAAAATAAAATAAAGAAAGAAAGAAAATATAAGATAAAATAAATAAAATAATACATAAAAATATAAAATAAAACATGAAATAAAATAATATAAAAATAAAATAAAATATTAAATCAAATGTATCTTTAAACTACAACAGCTCATTGTACTTTGAAAGCATAATTGATTAATATGGTGTTTCAATGGCATGACATTTTACATTAAATAAAATAAGAAATTACAATATAAAATAAAACAAAAATAAAGTAAAATTAACATTATAAAAATATGTAAAATATTTTAAAATAAAAATATGAAATAAAATTTAAAATATAAATAAAATATGAAATATGTAAAGATAAATGTATCTTTAAACTACAATAGTTCATTTTACTTTGAAAGCATATAGTATGCTGTGAATAAAATATAAAAAAAATACAATTAAAAAAAGGTATATAATGAAAAAAAACTTTTAATCTTTTTAAGAAAGTATTTTATTTTAGGAATACTTAAAATTAAATGTTAAAATAAAACAAAATATAAAATTAAAAATATAAAACGAAATTCACTTTTTATCTTCAAAATACAAGAGTTTATTCTTTGAAAGCATGAAGTTTCAAATCCTTGAGTTTCTGACATATTAACATAACCTTATGTTTTATAGCCTTAGTTGCATAATTTCTCTCCCCTAAAATTATTAGTTGCCCTTTCTGTCTGTCATCCCTCTGTTATCTGCTGTCACTTTACAGGCTGAATTGTGACACTGCCTGATGTACAGTTTCAGAGATTACCATGTGGCCATCCAAAATATACCGACATCCTTTCAGTCTCATTTTAATCCGTCCAACAGAGAGACCGCATGACTAAGAGTCTTGTTACAGAAGAAGGCTCTTAGATTTAGTTCGCCAAACCCACAGAAGCCCTTTGAGAATTTTGTTCCACCGTGTTTCATTCTACTTCAGCTAACTCCGTTTTAAGCCAAAACCCAACAGCACAATCCGTATCTTTACAGGCCCGTAAATGTAGTGCATTTCTGCTCCCTTCAACTCCGCAAAGTAGCTTTACTGTAATTTAACAAACCAAAGTTGCTTTCAGACCTTGTAGTTGGAAATGTGATTTGCAATTCTAACAAAGCAGCACGGCCTTCCACATTAAAAGTCCAAATGAATGCATTCTACAGTAGATGGTCATAATGGTTGCATGATTCAATACCATCGCACAAATCCGTGCAAAAACATGTTTTATGTGCATTTAGAGTGAGATCACTCTTTTGGGTTTGTGGTATTTCCAGCAATGCCTTTGAGCTAGTGGATTCCTCTGGGAAAATCTGCATTTGAACAGCTTTTTGTTACCGACACAAAGCGTGATGGCTTTTCACAATTTTGTTTCGTGGCGTGGATTCTGTGTATTGTAAAGGCTGGCGATGAGATTAATGTATCACTTCAGGACAGCTAGTTAGTGGTCACATAAAAGCATTTGTTTGAAATGACAGGCTGCTGTGTTTTCTTTGATTGTGTCGTTCTCTGAGAGCTGAGCTCAGGATGAATGGTGTAATTTATTAAAGGCACACTTTATCTAATAGTTGCTTTGTTGTTCTTTCATTGCCTGTCCCTTTAGTTAGCTATGCTTCCAGCTTTTATAGAGATATATATATATATATAAAAAAGTTTATATTTTGCAAAACAGACTTTTACTTATGTGTCCACATTGTGAAACTGATATTTTTGAAGTGTGTGTGTGTGGTTTTTAAACCTAGTAAACTGCTTATGAAAACAAGTTTGTGACAAAAGTGAGAGAAAGCTGCTAATAAGTACTTCTAAATTAATTAATATCAAAATATATTGGAGCATTTGAGTGTTGTGTATGCAATCAAACATGTAGATGAATTTGTTTCTTCATCTGAACAGATTTGGAGAAATGTAGGCATTATATCAGCAATGGATCCTCAGCAGTGAATGGGTGCCGTCAGAATGAGAGTCCAAACAGCTGATAAAAACATCACAACAGTCCATCAATTAATGTCTTGTGAAGTGAAAAGCTGTGAGTTTTTCAAGAAACAAAACCATCATTAAGATGTTTTTAAGTTTAAGCTGTCACTTGTGGCCACAATATAATCCATAATGACGCTTGCGCCAGTGAAAAAGTCCATCTCTAATTTTCCTCTCAATCAAAATCCACGAACATATTTGTTTGGAACTGTTTTTCGCTTGTAAACAGTGTGCATATTTCTCTCCTGATTCAGATGAGATGACTGTTTCACTGGAGAAAGCAATATTACACATATAGAGAACTCGTATTTTGGAAGCCACAGTTTGAACTTGGAAATGTCTTAATGATGCATTTATTTCTTACAAAAATGCAGCTTTTTACTTCAAAAGACGTTAACTGATGGACTGAAGTGGTGTGGATTATTGTGGTGTTTTTATCAGCTGTTTGGACTTTCATTCTGATGGCACCCATTCACTGCAGAGCATCCATTGCTGAGCAAGTGATGTAATGCTACATTTTTCCAAATCTGTTCTGATGAACAAACCAACTCATCTACATATTGGATGGCCTGAGTGTTGGTAAATTTTTATAGATTTAATTTATTTTTTTTTTTTTGGATAAACTATTCCTTTATTCCTTCCTTGCATGTTTTGATTCATAAAATAAAAGACAAATACATGATTGTGTGTTTGATCCCTTTATAAGAGACCTCAGTAGTTTATTCAAAAATTACCCTCCACGTCAGATGTCCACCCAAAGCAATGTTACAAATAGCTGAAGTGAATCCTGATTATGAACTTTATAATTGGTCTAATGCAAATCTCTCGCTCCCAGTAATTGACTGTATCCTCCCAAACATCTTCACGATGTGCTAGATTCATCATTTTTAATTGCAACTTGGGCTAGTACTCCCTTAGGTAAGAAAAAGTATTTTTCTTGTTTCTCTTGAGAAAAAGACCATTTCTCATGAAGTGCTATTATTATTAGAGTGTTATTTTACTATTTTTGTGTACTCTAAAAATATTTGTAAATTTTTAGTTTTTTTCAGTTTTAGTATTTTTAGTACTTCAAATTAATTATTTCTGTTATCTATCTAATTATTAATTATCTATCTATCTATTTACTTATATAATGTACTTTTAATTCTTAGGGTAAACTCTACACTCAGCTATTTCCATTTCTGCTAAATTTCTGGAGAATAACGATTTTATACTTGAACAAAAATGTGACCCTGGTCCACAAAACCAGTCATAAGGGTCAATTTTTCGAAATCTGGAATCTAAATAAATAAGCTTTCCATTGATGTATGGTTTGTTAGGATAGGACAACATTTGGCCGAGATGCAACTATTTGAAAATCTGGAATCTGAGGGTGCAAAAAAATCTAAATATTGAGAAAATCGCCTTTAAAGTTGTCCAAATGAAGTTCTTAGCAATGCATATTACTAATCAAAAAATAAGTTTTAATATATTTACGGTAGGACATTTACAAAATATCTTCATGGAACAAGATCTTTACTTAATATCCTAATGATTTTTGGCATAAAAGAAAAATAGATCATTTTGACCCATACAATATATTTTTGGCTATTGCTACAAATATACCCGTGCTACTTAAGACTGGTTTTGTGCTCCAGGGTCACAAATGAACATAACTGATACCCCTTAGTCTCCTGAGCTATGAAAGAGCAATAAGCCGTTCCTCTGGGTGATTATTACTGTCATTATTTTTGTTGCTGCATCTCAAGGCTTTGACTTTTTGTAACACAGAAGAAAATGCATTGGAAAGCTCAGTGAAGCCCTTTACTCTCATTTCAAAGCAGAGATAAGGAAATGCTCATGATGATTTATTCAAATCAAGTGTGTGGCTTCTCAGAGGTTTTTACAGCATTAAAGGGAAGAATGAGACCCTTTTAATATGTGGTGACACTAAAAAGTCTGATTGCAGTCACAAACATCTGCCTGTGGTTCAACCGCTGACTTCTTTTTATCAACGCAGTAATAGCAGACGAACTGAAGAGTCATCATGGTCAATTTTTAGTCTAGACATCTGAGATATATAGGTCATCTTAAAATGTTTGATTCATTTGTAGTTTTTTTCCTTGTATCAAATGTATATATTTTTGTGACCCTGAGGTCGATTTATTATAGTCGTGAGGTTTTTTTCTTGTTGGAAAGGACATTTTGAGTTCTGAAAGTTGTGTTTTCATAGTATGTTAAGCTTTTTAATCTCAATAGCTCAAGGAGATTTTTATTTTGTAATAAATGAGAATCTATTGAAAAGCAGAGATATGGAAATGCTCATGATGATGTATTCAAATCAAGTGTGTGGCTTCTCAGAGGTTTTTAGTTTTTTTTAAAAGGTGACTGTGTATTTCTGAACATGCAGCAAGACTTCTGTTACTTATTCACATTTAAATGTCTATATCTTTTCCAGTTTGTCCAGATAAGATGTCTGGACTGCAACCCTGGACTCCCGGTCACAATGAAGCCCACAGAGTCACCATCGGTTACGGCCGCAAAGTCATCCTCACCTCATCCACGACCGTCCATTCCATCGAGATCCTCAACGGAGGTAGATCTTCCTAATAAAACTCTTTCAAACATCTTCACAACATTAAAGTGCCATAAAGATTTACGTCCGTCATGATGAAGGCGACAAGAGCCTTGACAGGCTTAAATCAAAACACATTTCATCTCAGGGCGACTGAGCGTGGAATATTTGATGGGGAAATTCCATCACATTCCATGCCAGTAATCATCTTTTTATTTTTTTTTGTACTGGAGTTAGAGTTGGAAAGCATCCTCATTGGTTGAAAATCAAGGGTGAAAGATCAGGACTGTCTTGATTTTGTTTGTTCTTTTTAGGGAAGCTTGTGATCGCTGATTCCAATCGACCCATTTTTCTGCGGGCTAAGCACATCCTCATCGGGAACAAGGGTGAACTTCACATCGGCAGTCCAGAATGCCCTTACAAAGGCAACCTCACAATCTCTCTCTTTGGCAGGTATGAATACAGGCTTTGAAAAATCATCAGACTTGCTGAAACACTCCTGCAGCCTTCATAAGAGCACTTACAAATCACAAAAAGTTTTGGAGGAGAATTTGACGGACAGAAATGTTTTAAACCTGTAATTTTAAGCAATCTTAAAGGATTTGGGCTAGATTCAGAATCAGTTAACCGACTGCCATTCAGTTCTTGACTGCAAATTTGAATTGGCCGAACCTTACAGGAAGTTGTATGATCATTTGAATCGCAATGCTAAAAAAATGCATTTATTACTGAATTTTAATTCAGTACAGGCGATGCATTCTGGTTGATGTGCACAATTTTGGATAAACTGAGAATCACCTTTTTTTACTGTTTAGAACAACAGTCATGTTTTTTATGATTCTGAAGAAGATTTTTCATAACATTGTTGAACATTAGTAACAAAATAACAAAACTACTACTAACAAAATAACATGTAATTTACTAGAGCTTCTGATAAAATGTTATTTGCTTAAAGATCTGGTTGGATGAGCGACTCTAGGTATGATTAAGTTTATTTTACTAGGTGCCGTTTAGGTCATTCAAGATTCACATAAGATAAATAAACTGATATAGATTAATTTCAAATCACAGTTGATTGCGATCTAGTCAGGAATTTAAAAAGCATTCTCTTCAATTCTGAATTCATAGGACTATCTGATAAACTGATTTGTTGTTGTTTTGAAAAAGGTCTGATGACACCGAGGTCGAACACAGTTATTTTGGCCGCAAGTACATTGGCGTAGGAACCGGAGGAACCTTGGAGATTCACGGCGAAAAGAAGCTGTCCTGGACGTTCCTGAACAAAACCCTCCATCCTGGGCAGGGTAATGAGAACAGCTACCATTTCGAAAGGAGCTGGGGCAATAGAGGCATCATCATTCACGTTATCAACCCCAAGACCGGAGAGGTGCTGCACACTGATAGGTCAGTGGGGCACCATCTCTCCTCCACATTTCTTGCTCTTAAATAGTTCATTCCTAATTAATGCAGGCTTGCTTCTTGACAGATTAAAGCTTGTTACGTCAGTACATCATGTAAAACCAACTCACTGATGGTTTTAATGTGCGGTTGGAATTAAAACAGTAATTACAAATCGACTGTCAAAACAAACAGCGCTTCCAAGTTGGCATCATCGCAGACGATTGATCTTCGACTATTTTTCATCACAGAAATGAGCGTCTGTTGTTGAATCACAGCCTTCAGAAAAATCATTCATAATCAGTATGCTTACTGGCTTCTGTACCGTTCCTTGACTAGCCTATGATTAATCTCCATGACCCACTTTTACGTTTGTGCGTGTGTATGTGTGTGTGTGTAGGTTTGACACGTATAGGAGCAAGGACGAGAGCAGACGACTGGCCCAGTATGTAGACGAGGTGGAAACTGGGCAGATCTTGGCCATGGTGGTTAATGACGAAGGATCCAACAACCTGGAGGATCTGGCTAAAAAAGCTCTCACTAAGTTGGGTAGCCAACACTTCCATCGACTCGGATTCCGGTACTATGACTCATTTCCAACTTAGCAGTAGTTTTCTTATCCATGACCGGTCTGGAATTTGCTTTAGCATTAGTTGAAGAATTGGACACTCTATTTAGAGCAATCTGGTCCAGTCAGGTATCAGCTTGGCTGCGTTCACATTTTCCTCTTTGCATCGCTGCTTGTCTGAGACCAGTGAAATATATTTCTTGAAATAGCATCTAAATAAGTGGCAAAACCCTGTTCCTGTAGTTCTACCTTCCTGCACACAACTCTGATAGAGCTTACAAAATAGAGGAAACTTTTATGGAGCGTTTGATGGAAATGCGTAAAATATGCCTCAAGGGTGTGGAAAAAAATTAGTGCTGTCAAATGATTAATCGCGATTAATCGCATCCAAAATAAAAGTTTTTGTTTACATAAGATATATGTGTGTACTGTGTATATTTATTTTGTATATATAAATACACACACATGCATGGATATATTTAAGAAAAATGTGTTACGTTTATATATTTAATATATTTATATATGATATAATTTATATGAATTTAAATATATACATGTAAATACATGTAAATATTTTCAAAATATATGCTGTATGTGTGTGTCTTTATATATACATAATAAATATACACAGTATGCACACATATTATGTAAACAAACTTTTATTTTGGATGTGATTAATCACGGTTAATCGCGATGAATCGTTTTACAGCACTAAAAAAATTATGGTAACACTTTACAATAAGGTTCATTAGTTAACTACATTAGTTAACATGAATTAATAATGAACTGCACTTATACAGCGTTTATTAATCTTTGTTAATGTTAATTTCAACATTTACTAATACATTATTAAAATCTTGTTAACATTAGTTAATGCACTGTGAACTAACATGAACATCTGTATTTTTATTAACTAACGTTAGCGTAGATTAGTAAATACAGTAACAAATGTATTGCTCATGGTTAGTTCATGTTAGTTAATATATTAACTAATGTTTAACTAATGAACCTTATTGTAAAGTGTTACCAAAATTATAATACTTGTATAGCACCTTTTCTGAATTTATACATAAAATGCCACTCAAAATGCTTGACTGACTGGAATATAAAAAGGGGTAATAAAAAAATAAAGCATAAAATATGCAAAGCAAGTCTGTCTGAAATCATTAGCGTAATTTTTCTGTAATTTATTCTGTTGCACAAAGGATTGTGTGCTATAATAGCCTAAAAAGCATGCAGATGCACATTATGAAAATCTACCAAAGTATACAATCTAATTCTAATCGCATACTATTTAGGATGGATGATAATGAAGTTGGGATGCAGTGCTTGATTGGCTGGTTCAGGTGTGTTTGATTAGAGTTGGAACTGAATTTTGTGGAATGGTCCATCTCCAGGAACAGGGTTTGGGAAGCCCTTTCAGTTTATGGAATATAAATTGCATGAATTTATGAAGTCATTACTAGAAAATTACTAGAACGAATCCTAGAACGCAAATGGACTGCAGATCGTTACGAATTAGGAATGAAAAATCACAGACTTTAATTTATAGCTGCGCGCGCTCTCTGAACATCAACAATTGTCTTGTTTAATTTTTCTTTCTGTTATGGGATTTTAGGAGAGACAAAGCTGATATTAAAATGAAACCGAAACCTCCATTAGGTCTCCTAAACTATGAAACATCAACCTCGGAGTGATTTTTCTCAGGGTTGGTTAGGAAATACTGTGGTTTGTGCGAATTAAATTGTTGTTTACATGAGTGAAGCTCGACTGTGAGAAAATTATTAGCATAGCTTTGACAGATAACAACTTTGGAGTAATTAAAATGTTTAATGAAACACCAAGCTACAATCCAGAATCTGTGCTGCCTGGGAAACTCAATTGCTCCTAAACTTTACAATCGCACACATTTAAATAATCCCACATAATGACTTATGTTTCCCAAACACAAAGCCAACCACATCAAAAACTCAATTCAGATGACTTTTAAGGATGAGGCAACACATATATTTAGGTTCACAATGCTGTTGAATGTGCCTACTTGATTTTGTATGTGTATGTGTATATATATATATATATATATATATATATATATATATATATATATATATATATATATATATATATATATTCAGGCAGATTTCCTGTGTTTCTAACTCTAGTCTTAACTCAAAATTGCATACTTGCTCCTTTAGATGTGAAAATGATGGAGGCCAGTGAAAATGGCCAGTGGCACAATGCCAGGTTTATTTGCTAAGTGCCTTCCTATAAAGCTATAAAGAGTATCTTTCAAAAATTCACTGCCACTTGTATGGCAAACTTGCTGTTGCTGATTAGTTGAGTGTGCTGTATGCAGCAGGCGGTCGGTGAATAAAGCGGCTGGATGTGAGTCATAGCAACACAAGAGCACACGTTAAGTATGTTTAGTTTGCATATTTGTACAAAGTATTCTGGCTTTAGTCCTCATTATTAGTTTCTTTTAAAAAGAAAAACTACTACTATTTATTGAAAACGTATATTTGGAAATTAATTAAACTATTGGTAGCACTTAAATTTAGGGACCAATTATCACTATTAACTAGTTGCTTATCAGCATGCATATTACTAGCATACTGGCTGTTTATTAGTATTTATAAATCACATATTAATACCTTATTCTGCATGACCATATACCCAGACTTAAGCCCCGTTCACATCAAGAACGATAACTATAAAGATAACTATAAAGATAACGATATTAGCGTCCACACCAGCGAATTATATCGTCTGTTTATTCTAAGCGCACACGCGTCTGCCGCTTTAAATTCTTGAGCTCGTTACAGCAGGATGGATTCTGATTGGCTGTCAGTGTTTTATCGTTCCTCAGCTGGAAAAAAATCGTTTTGAAAGTGATCACAACAATATCGTTCCTCTGTATCGTTATCGTTATAGTTGTGGTGTGAACTATGCTATTTTTTAATATTGAGAACGATTTTTAGAACTATATCGTTATCGTTATCTTTATAGTTATTGTGCTTGGTGTGAACGGGCCTTTAACCTAACTGTTAATGAGAAGCAAATTATGAGTTTATTTAGGCAAAAGTTATGGTTAATAATTAGTTAATAGTGAGAATTGGTCTCCAAATAAAATGTGACCAAACAATTTCTCATTTGCCTGCCTTGGAAGAGTAAAGTACATGGTAACAATTTACATTAAGGTTTTATTTGTTAACAGCATTAGCTAAATACACTACATATAGCTAACATGGACTAACAAGTTCATGTTAATTCCAATATTTTACTAATGCATTATTAAAATCAGACCTTGTATCTGTTTATATTATGTAATGGACCTGAGCTAACATGAATTAACAATGAACACTTGTATTTTTATTACTAATGTTAACAAAGGTTATTAAATACTTTAACAAATGTATTGCTCATTGTTAGTTAATACAGTATTAGTTAGTGTATTAACTAATGTTAACTAATGGGACCTTCTTGTAAATTATTACCAAATAAATACAATTATTGTTATATAATAAATGAATACAAAACATAAAAAAAATATTTATTCCAAAAAACAACTACATTTTGGTTTGCAATTTTTATTAGTTTGTTTTCTAAAAAGTACAGCTATATAATTTTTACTTTTATTTATTTTATTTTATTTTATTTTATTTATATTATACACTTATTCACTGGTCTAGCTGAAGAAAATTGTCCTGATGATGGTGTCAGTCAGACTGCTTCTCTCAGAGTGGTGCAAGGGCTGATGGGAAACCCTGGCGTTGTAATTACCAAGTCCTCTCTGAGAAGTGCGAGCCGCCAATCACACCTTAAGTCAATATAATTTACAGCAGTGAAAGTCAGAATGTTTGTCTAGGAGGGACAACTTATTCATGGCCAAATCTTCAGACTTATTTGTCCCTCTCACACCTTCCTCTCTCTCTTGTGTGTGTTTCTCTGCAGGCATCCGTGGAGTTTTATTACAGTCAAAGGGGACACGTCCTCAGCGGTCGAGGATCATGCTGTCTATCAGGGTGAGCCTCTTTTGCCCACTTGTTTGCCCAGCGATGGAAAGCAAACAGCAGCTCGGAAAGGAAATATCTTGAAGGCGAGCTGATGCTGGTGTTTTTTGTGTTGTTTGTGTGTTCAGGAACCAAGGCTTCGTCTGAGGCCAGGAGCTCTCGGGTGTTTCACTCAGGTTACGGAGAGCATTTCACCATCACCACCATCAGTCAGTGGGTTCAAGGTACAGACACGCCTCACCACCTCCACTAAAGACAGACAATCATGACTTATTTGCAGCTCCGGGTTGGTTTATGCCGATATCTAACTGGTGGACCAGCAAAACTTATTGGAATAGTTCAGTCAAAAATGTTTTTTTTTTTCCATTTACTCTGATGGTGTATTTTTTTTCATCTGTGGAGCACAACAGGATAAGTTTAGCAGAATAGGCCCTGTTAACTTTCAAAATAGACAAAAAACTTCATTTATCTATGAAAATAATAATGCTTTTATAAAGTAAGGATGCATTAAATCGATCAAACATGACAGTAAAGACATTTATAATGTTAAAAAATATTTCTTTTTCAAATAAATGCTGTTCTTTGACTGTTCGTGACTGACGAATTGGGATCTCGCTTCGAGAGACCAATCTACTTCGAGTGTAACTAAACGAGCCAATGCACATTGGCATGCAATTATTGCATCCAGCTGCCGCTGATCACAGCGTGAGCATAAAAAGGCAGCCGGTGCAATGCATACCAGGTTTTCGCTGAGGAGCCGAGCTGGTGACCCAGCAGCTCAGCGGTGGTACAGCAGCCGTGGCGACGGGATGTCTCCGTTCCCTCCTTCTGGGAACGAGGGTTACATACGTAACCGAGACATTCCCTTTCAGTCGGTCACTAAGAGTCACGTCGTGACCGACGAATTGGGATTCCCTACCAAAGCGCCATGGATGCTGCCCCTTCCAGTGCCCTGTGCTCGCAACAAGAAGACCATTCACCGTTGTCGTAGCACTACCCACTCAGTGAGATTGGATAACACTGGGAAAACGTACCCACTTGGAACAGGGACGCTGCGGAAGCCCCATCCTTCCCGAAGGAAGTTTCGGAAGCAAATACACATATGAACATCCGTTTAGGTGCATATGGAAAATTGGAGGTGATTGTAACCCTCATGGAATGGCAGAAGTCTGCCGGGGAAACACGGGCTCTGAGGTTATACCGTGGACTTTACACATATGGGATCCGCTTAGGTCTCTACATATGGAACCCAGCCCTCTACCGGTTCTCAAGGATTCAGCGAGAGAGGGCCTAGTGCCGGACGTTCCGCCATGTCTGTCTGCCGAGGGGACGGAGGAGCTCGACAGGGCCTACAGTATGGACACTCTGGAGCAGTTTTAGCAAGCCAACACTAACCGGGGCCTCTCAGTGCCTCTACCCATTTGAGGTGAGAACAGAGGAGGATACCGGCTCCACACGAAGGCTATAGAATCTACGAGTTGGGGGACGTTCAGCCCGCAGCACTACAAATATCTGTCAGCGAGGCGCCACGAGCCAGCGCCCAGGAGGATGCAACACTCCTAGTAGAGTGAGCTCGCAACCTGAGTGGGCAGGGCACACCCTATGCCTGATAAGCCAGGGTGATGGCATCCACAATCCAGTGGGCCATCCTCTGCTTAGAGACGGCCTTCCCTTCCGGTCTACGTAGCACCTTAAGGCTCGGACGGGACAGAGCAAAGCTAGGGCTGGGTCTGCCTCCTCTGGAGGCAGCACTTGCAGGCTCACCACCTGATCCCTGAAGGGAGTAGTGGAAACCTTGGGCACATAGCCGGGCCGGGGCCTCAGGATTACCTGGGAGTCAATCAAGTGATGGTGTCAACTACCTCTTGGGGTAGGTCACCTAGAACCTCCGCATCCCGTCCAGGGACCAGACAAGAAGTTTCCAGAGGTCTGGACACGGGTGCCACAGGGTGCCCCGTCTCTGAGTCAGTAGAACCTTCCTCAGAGTAATCTGCCAGGGAGGGGCTGTCTCTAGGAGCATTAGTTCTGGGAATCAGGTCCAAATGGGCCAATACAGCGCCACAAGCAGGACCTGCTCCTCGTCCTCCCTGACCTTGCACAGCGTCTATGCGAGAAGGCTCACTGGGGAAAACACATACTTGCGCAGGCCTCGCGGCCAGCTGTGTGCCAGTGTGTCCGTGCCAAGTGTTCCCTTGGTTAGGAAGTAGAACAACTGGCAGTGAGAGGTTTCTGGAGAGGCAAACAGGTCTACCTGAG